GACAAGATAGTCTCTTCAGTAAATGGTGCTGGGTCAACTGTAGAACCATATGCAAAAATCAAACTTTAGAATAGATCCTATCCTCTTCCCCAAAGTTAACTCAGACTGGATCATTGTTCTAAATTTAAAATGTAAAGTCATAACACAGGAGGAAGCCTGTGTATATCTTGGGCTTGACAATGATTTTTAAAAATATAATGCTAAAGACATGATATGTGAAAGACTTGGTAAGTTAAATGTCATGAAAATTAAACATTTTTGCTCCCTACCAAGACAAAAAAAAAAAAAAAAAAAAAAAAAAAAAAGGCAAGTCAAGGCCGGAGAGAAAATACGTGCAAATGATTTCTCTAGTAAAGGAACTATCAAAGAAAATATACAAAGAACTCTTGAAGCTCAACAGTAAGAAAATAAAACGCTATTTAAAAATAGGTCAAAGCCCTTACTGGACACCTCACCAAGGAAGATACGTGGATGGTGACAGAGGGACATGAGAAGGTGCCCCCACCTCATGCTATGGGTCACTCAAATGAAGGTTAGATGCTCCTGTATGCCTGTGAGAATGAGCCACAAGTGAGAACAACAAGAGAACCGAACACTGTGAAGAAGGCGGTGCAGCAGGAGCCTTATCCACTGCTGGCAGCTGGGCAAAGCACTGAGGCCACCAGGAAAGGCAGTTTTGTAGTTGCTTGTAAAGCTAAGTATGCCCTTGTCATATGATCCAGCAGTTTTGCTCCTTGAGTTTTTGCTTATGTGCACATTAAAACCTGCATACAGATGTTTCAAGCCAACTGCATTTGTATTTTCCAAAACTTGGAAGCAACTAAAATGTTTGTCAGTGGACAAATGGATAAACAAAAAAGGAATATTTTCGCCCTGAGAAGGAAAGAGCTATCAAGACATAAAAAGACATGGAGAAAGCTTTAAAGCAAGAGAGGTGGTTGGAAAGAGCTTATCCTGTATGAGTCCAACTGTATGACATTATGGATAAGGCAGAGCAGTAGATAAGGACTGCTTTTGCAAGATTTAGCGTGGAGAGGAGGCTGAAAAGGTAGAGCACAGAGAAATTTGGGGGCAGTGAGAGTACTGTGTCATACTAGAAGGGTGGAAACATGTCATTGCACATTTGTTTGCACTGACAGACTAGAACGTATAGCGTGGAGATGAACTGTGATGCAAGCTGCAGCCTTGGGTGATAATGGCATGCCAGCAGAAGTGCACGTGTTGTAAAGAGCACACCACTCTGGTGGGCGATTAGGGGGCGTGTACAGTTGAGGGGGCAGGAAGTATATGTATGTGTATCTTTGTACGTGTTCATCATTTGTGTATAAACCTAAAACTACTAAAAAAATAAGGCCTCAGGTAGGTCTGTTTTGTGATTCTATATTTATTGTGCAATATTCTTACTAGTGATTCCCCTTCCATCTATGGAAGAAAACAGGCTGCTACTTAAGATGATGTGTCTGTTGCTTTCATCTGAAAAGGTTCGTGCATAGCAAACTATGTTCTTGTGTATCTTACTGGTTTACTTTTGCATCATACACTGGAGCTGAGGTGTTAGAATATCTGGAGAATGTGTTTCAACCATCCAAGTATCACGCAGAATGGATATGGGTTTTAAACTCTGAAGATCAAACTTTGGCTTAACTGTATATGTTGTTTAAAAAATACTCAGTGGAGGAAGAGGACCAGAGGTAGGGAAAGCTATGACACAGAGGGGTAAAGGGATTGAAAATAATCAGGACATATCGAGGTATCAACTCTCCAAGTTTCACTGTTGTTTATTGCAAACATACACATTTTAAAAAGTACTGCATGAAGGGAAAGATTGGGTGGATTGAATACAGATGCAGAATTTTATGAAGTATTTGCTCAAATGTCATATGTAAGAAACGTAGCTTTGAAGGGAAAACTTAGTGGAATTGGAGAACAATTGAGTCTGGGCTGTTCTTCCGGTTAGGACTTGGCCCAAAGCTGAGAAAGACATCCAAAATAAGCACACTTCCAGATGCCCAGGGAAACATGGGGGGCGGGTGGCAGGATGGTGACTCATACGGTTTGAAATAATGCCTGATTTTACTTTGACGGGGAGAAGAATGGGAAATTCTGTGCTACGATCTCTCATTTAATCATCTGAGTTCTGACAAAGCCAAGGCCAGGGACTGGCTTTTTCCCTTTTAAGGGTATGATTTTTGAGAAAGTAAATTCACTGGTACACCTTACTTTTGAAAACAGATACAGAATACAGAGCTATGTGTCCTATATCTTCTGGAACCTTTTCCTTATTTCTTCCTTAAATTTTTCAATCTGGAAAGGAATAAAGATTGATTCATACATTGCTGATAGGACAGTACTCATGTGTACTGATCTTGGGAAAAGTTCATTTTTATTGTTGATGTTAACTTTGTAAGGTGCAAAATCAAAGAAGATGACAAACTAGTTAGAAAGCTGACACATGCGATATGACGCAGAATAAGCCCTTGTGCCCTAGCTCCGGGCAGGCAGTGAGCAGAAGTCGCTGTGTTTTATGATTGCCCAAGCCATTGACACTGAATTAGTCTCCTCCGTCTATACCGGAGCGCATCAAGCCCTGTAGGCACTTCAGAACTTCAGAAGGCACACAGTTCATATGGCAGGTAAGAGAGAGGCAACAGCCAGGCTCCCATCTGAGAGGAAGGTTCTAAGAGTGACATAGAGAATGTTTGTGTTTCAATCCTTTGCTACAGATTCTTGTCTCCTCGATCTTAGTATGGGTGTATCCGATCACTGATTGATTAGAGGCATGAAGAGAGAATTAGCTCTGAATAGTCTGATCAGAATTGAGATGTCCCGGGTTGTAATTAAGTACACTTGGCAGTGGATCTGATGTGGGTTCTGTTTCTCCTCTCAGATAGCCTTAGATAGGTCACTAATGGTTTGCATCAGTGTAATATATTCATGGGCCTCATATTGTCTAGATGTTAATTTGAAGATGAGGCTGAAAAAATCTGAGTTTAAAAGAAGTGACTGAGTGGTTCCGTTTTAAGGAGATCTCCTTGCATCAGCTCTATACCCGTGTTACGATTTGTAAAATAAAAGAAGTTCAGTAGATGCTGCAACACTGGTTCATAGCTATGCAAAAGGCATCTAAGAGTATACTTTCAGAATTAAAGTTTGGGTCCCAAGTACTGGGTGCATCATTTTGTGTAGCTGTGCCATTGTGACTCTGATTTGTGTCACTGATGTGGTTTGCAGTATGCACATTGAATTGTTTCTCCAGAGACAAGAGTCTCAACTCTCAAATCTAAGTTCAGGCAGTGAGCTTTTGAGAGTCCAGGAGGGTTAAATTCTCAGAAGTTTCTTTATGCCAAAATATATTTTTAAATCTCACTCTATTTATAATCTTGAATTCTTCATCTCAAGGCTGTTACTACCCTGTTTCAGAAGCTGTCCTTTTGGAGTGCTGATGTTAGTACCAAAGTCTTAGGACATCATGGAAGGCACTTTCCCCAATTGTAAGCTTTAGGATTAGTTTTAATAGCATGTCAAGTTTAATGCTGCTCTAGCTATGAGAGGCTATGGTTAATTCAAAACTAAATAGGATTGGGAATATCAGTTAGTGTGATTATAGCATTAAGTCCTATATTACTCCCACTATCTTGTTTTGACTGATTAGACTCTGTTCCATTCTGCTTGATAGTATCAAGTTTGAGGGTATAGGCAACTACTTTGAAGGCAATAAGCTTCACTATGATGCCCATTCTGGTTTGACTATTATCTTCTTTTGAAGTCCTGTAATGTTTACAATGTTTAGATTTTATTGGTCTTATCCTGTACTGTTTTGTTCAACTTTATAATATCTAATGATATAGGCAATTCTTTTTAAGGAAGCAAGAGGCATTATGGTAATGATTGTTGATAACCTTGTACTCTGTTTTTACATCATGTGCTATATCTATCCTTGGTTTTGGCTGATAGCTTTGTTTTGTCATATTTGATTTTATTCTCTTCCAAAAAATAATAAGAACTATAGGAGTAATAAAACCCAAAATGTGTAAATTTTGTTGTAAAAAAGAGAGAAAAAAATGTGCTCTAAAGGATACAACTGCAAGTGTGTTTGGGTGTGTTAAGATAGATGACCATATTAATGTTTTTGGTTGAACACAACTGTTTGCAGTCTCACTGTTTGAATGCCCACTTTGTATGCTTTGATCCTGTGACTTGAGCAACTATCTCTAAGATGATAATGTGTAATCTATTAACTGGTGATTTCTTACTTTTTTTTTTTGTAGTTCTGTATTACTTGTACCCTGACACTGTTTTGTTTTGTTTTGTTTTTTGGTCTTTTTTCCTTTTTATCGGTACCAGGGATGGAACTAACGACTGCCTGCTTGCAAGGCAGGCGCTTATGCCACTGAGCTAAATCCCCAGCCCCTTGTTTTGTTTTGTTTTATCTCTTTTTCCTTTTAAATAAAATTTTAAAAAAGCTACAATTGTCTACTTTTTCATGCAATTCTGTGCTTAATATTGCTGTTAACAATAATGAAAAACTCTTAATGCCCCTTTCACAGGAAATGCAAAGCTCTTTAAAGTGACCTTTTTACAGCATCCCTGTGAAGCGTTCTCAGACAAAAAAAATACCTCGATCTGTGTTTCCCTAATGGAAATCCTTTTCTTCACTGAATCAAATGGGAAACAAGTTCCCATAGGTCAGAATTTTTGACTCTGGGGAGAGTATTCCTTCTATTTAGAGAAACTTCAGGGAACCTAGATAAAAATAAAATTTATCATCTTATTCTAATATTATAACTATTTTTATATAAAGGATAGGTTTCTTCTCTAAAAGGAAATACTTTTACCTAAATCTATTTGAATGCTAAAAGCTAAAATCTATATTACATTGTTGAAGCAATGGCAAAATCTAACTTTATAGAATAATACTAAATGACACTTAAATAATTGTGATGTGCTGTTTGATTCAGGTATAATGTTCTTGAACTTTATTTGTGTCCATTTCAGAGATAAGTTCTACCTGCTTGCAATCAAAATGATCAACTCATAGAGGTATTGAGGTCAAGTTAAACACAACAAAAAGGAGACTCAGAAGTGTCCATATTCAGATCACATTATCCAAATGTTCTTTATCCTCAATTGCATCTTCGAATTGAGCATCATTAATGCCTAGAATCAGAAACCTCAAGAGGCAGCCTGCACTAGATGGGGATTCTGCTCCCAAGGTACTGCATGATTATGTTGTGAGATATTTGCAGATTGGTTTATTTTGGGCTGGGCGAAATTAGCATTTTTGTTTGTAAGAATACCATCGTACTGATCAAGTTAAAGTACATGCTTAATAACCAGCATTTCTTAGGCTTTTATGTTGCCCTTAATTAGACTCTTCAAAGTTAATTAGAGGAACAAATGGTACTTTTTGTTCTTTTAAGTCCCCTTTAACAGCTTCTCCCACATAAAGTGTTCCCACATTTATAGGTAGCTTGGCTGCAGCTTGAACCTATTGGTTAGCTGCTCATTGGTTAACTTACCCTTCATTCAGGGAATGAAATCCACTCTATTTTCCTGAGTATCTTTGATCCTCCCCTTTTTAGTTTCAGTTTTCATTATTGTATGGCATACTTTTAGATATAAAATTATTCATTAAATTATTTTTGTAATTGTTTGGGAATAGCATTTTGTTTAAGGTTTAGCAACTGGCAAAACTAAATTTGGGGACTCCTACCATATGCAAGGATACTAAGACAGCATTGCCATATAAATTTCACAAGAAAATTGAGTTTCCACACACTTATTTCCAGGTATAGGGCAGTAGTGTGGGAAATAACACTTTTTAAAAAATTTGAATTAAGATAGAAAGATTGGCCTCATTTTGAGACCCATTATACTTTAGCGTGTTATTTGTTATTTTCATTTAATAAAGAGTTTATTGCATAGAATAATCTGGCACTTGAAATAGTAGGCTAAGCCCAAGGATGTGAGGTTTCTCAGCCATGATATCAGTATGCGTTGTGCCACTGATGGAAATACAAGACTATTAGAAGTGAACTGTGTAAATGAGAAATAGTCTTTGCATTAGAGCGGAGTCTGTCACTCTTCTGGCAACCCTGCCGAGAGCTGCACATCAAAGCCACCACACTGTGCTAATAGTGTCACTTATTCCACAGCCTTTGCATGTCCCATATGCAGCTACTACACAGGAGGTGTGTACAGGAGGGCTAGAGGGGAGTTGACAATGTGCTAGATGAAACCGTAGGAGATAAACCGAATGTGATTTATCACCTCTAATCCTTGCAATGGGAAACATTTAGGAAGAGCAAATAATTGAGGTCTTTCAAAAATATGTTTTTTCTGGAGGGGAAAAACATGATTTAGTTAGAAACCTAAAAATGGAGGATTAAGAAAATAATTGTTTTAAAGTTAGGAGAAAAATTCTTAGTATATTTACCAAATTGAAAGAAAAAAATTACAAAATTACATTTTAAAATCATTTCCTTAAAGCTAGTTTGGATTATTGTATACCTGAAAGAATATTTTTCTTTAAAAAAATTTTGTCATCTTTATTTGGCAGTTTCAATTAAAAAAAATATATATATATATGTCAAGTTGCTGAAACAAAAATATTACTGTTAAACCGAGGGCAATCTTTAATAATGCAGCTATATCTGACATTATTATCTGCTAGCTTTGTTCTGGTTGTGTTTGATTTCTTTTTGATCACTTATTTTACTATTTCACAGTCACTGGATAGTGTCAGATTGGTGCACGCAGAGAGCGTCTGCGAAGCCGGCAGCATAGGACACTGTGTGAGGCAGAGTGGTGCCTCCTGGGCTCTTGGTACCTGCTTCAGGAGCTCACGGACACGACACTTTGCTCTCTATAATCACCTAAGCAGTCTCCTCTTGGGAACTGAGCTGGCAGAAAAAAACTTTTGGAGTCTCTAAAACTGCCCAAAGCACTTGGGAGAAATGGGAGGGGACATTTCAATGACTGAGCTGAAGTCTGCCAGGATGATTCACACCTGCGCGGTCAGCGAGAAAGATTGTCCAACACCATGTATGTGGGGTTGTCCAAAAACAGCAGCAGGGTTTCAGAGGAAGCACTGCTAATAGACAGAAGAAATATTACAACACCCCCGTCTACCGCACCCCCCTTCAAATCACCCAAGGTCTCTTCTGCTCCGAAGTGCCCAATGCCACTGTCCTATCACCCTGAAGAGCTCTGGGAGATTAACATTCGCCATCAACAAAACGTCCCCATCTTTCCTTCCACAAACGTTGCCACCTAAATCTCATCTCCCACGTGCCCCCTACGCTTCAGCCACGAGGAATGTCTCACTCGTTCCTGAATATGCCACTCTTTCAAACTCCGCGTTGTCCCAGATGCTGTTTCTTTTCCTGGAGTGCCCTTCCTTCCTTTCTCTGCACAGTAAACGCCCACTCGTGCTGTGAGATCCAGGCGCAAATGCCAGCTTTCCTCTGAAAACTCCCCATTTCTGAGAAGAGCTGCTCTTCCCCGCTCAGAGAGCCTCTGGCCTTCTGTGGACAGCACTGTCATTATGATTGTAAGAGGGGCCCCAGTTGAAGTCTCTGGCCCTACTTCTGCTGCCGAGAAACACAGGAAGTCAAAGAAATGTGCAACCTAGAGTCCTAGTATCTTCCTTTCCAAACCTTATGTAGATGCCTGTCCCAAGGGTTCCATTTCTGGTATCTGGAGTTTCTTCCTGATCTGTGCGTCTGAGCCCCACCAGGTGTGAGCGATAGAGGAGGTGGACGTGAAACTCGGGCTTGCTACCTCGCGTGTCCCCACACACGAGCCCAGAGACCCTGTTAGTGAAAAGCATAACTGGTGAAGAGAACTTCAGGTCTGGGGCTGGAGGACAATCTTTGTGATGACATTATTTTCTGCCCTAGAACTCCAAGGAATCCAGGAATTCTAGACTTAAATCTGGTGCTGAGAATGAATGAGAATATAAAACATGTCACTGATTAACTCCAAACCAATCCGTGGTCCTGAACATCGTAATGTACTAAACTTACAATAGCATCTGAAAATAAAAGCCATGATGCCTTCTGATATATATTCAGCTATCTGTGTGCAAGGGTAGAAAAGAAAAAGAACTAGCAATTAAACATCTGCTTCAGGATAAATAGTGTTTGGTTTTGCTCTAACTATCTTACCCAACCTCAGGACAGCATTATGAAGTATGCATTAGTCCTTTTATAGGTAGGGGGTTTAAGATACAGCAAATTTTAGCATCTTGAGTTTTGGAAGATTTGAATTTTGAACCTGGGTCTAATGGCCAGGCTCTTTTGATTACAGTCAGTAGCCATCGCAAGTAGCATGCATTTACTTTAGACTCTGTTGTTCAGCAAGTTTCCTCTAGGGTTGTTGGAACAAGCATGGAGCAGGCATTGATGGAGCAGCAGCAGTTTCCCAAGAACGTTTGCATGAGTACTGTCTCTGAAACACCAGGCTAGGCGCTATCACATATACATACTCGTCTCTACCTGGACGTTGCATGGGTGCACACACGTGTGTGTGGGTGTACACACATGGGGCCCAGCTTAACCTAAGTGCAGCCATCTTGAATCTTCTTTGCCATCACTTTCCCTGAGAACCCATGACCTGTTTTCTCTCCGTAATTTCTAAGCATATGATAAAATAATCAGTCACGTGTGGAGATTCAAGAGCAGGGTCTTGGCATCACTAGTGCCAAGAATATACTTGACATTCTGATGTTTGGTAAGGCACAAATATTCCAGTTTGGATAAAACATACTTTTCCCCTGGCAATTAGAACAGCCCCTTCCCTCTCATCCACATCACAGAGGTCCAGGTCCACTGGTCCTGCTGCCTCAACCATGCTGAAGCCAGTGAATCCCAGGAAAGTGAATTCTGTCCAGGCTTAGATTGTTATGCCACCTTTTATTTAATCTCCTGTTCTCTCTAGAAATGTGTGGCTGGTTCCAGATACTGGGACATGGTTTTCCAGAGCACTGGGGATGTGTGTGCACTCATTTCTCAATTCTTTCACTATTGTCATCTATAATTAATTAATTAAAATTTATTTTTATGAGGTGAGTAATGGATCTTGCATGCTTATAATCCCAGCACTTTGGTAGGCTGAGGCAAGAGGATGACTTACATGAAACCAGCTTGGGCAATTTAGAAACTCAATGAGCCTCTATCTCAGAAAAAAGTAGTGTTGGTGGTGGTGGGTGGCCTGGGTTGTAGGTCAGTGAGAAGGCACTGAGTTCAGTCCCCAGTGGCCCCTCCAAGGTACAAATAATGAAGAAGAAAAAAGACTGAATTGTTCCCCGGGCATATTCTGCTGTAAGTAACCTCTTACTCTCACCACCTGTGCACCCTAACTGATGGAGGAAGGTAGTTTCATATTTTTGGTGGTAATGTTGGGCACTAAGATATCCTCAAAGTCTAAATGATGCTGACTCTAAACCTAATAGAGCAGGAAAACATGCATAAATACACGAAGAGAAGAAATTTAGCCAATGGAAAGTTACTTTCTTCTTTTAATCTCATCCCAGTCTAACTTGTTCGTACTTCTTTTACATCTTTAAAGTGCCTAGGAAGAGCAAATTACTTTTCTCAGGTTCACTGACAAAGCTCCCAAGCATCTTTATGACCGGTGCATTGCTCAGAGTTGCTGAAGGGATAGGGTGCAAGGGCATTTGCTTTGATCCCCGTGTGTAGCTAGTGATATTCACAATACATTAATTCTACCTTTCCTTGAAAATACTGCTTTGGAAGTTTATTCTTCTAAGCCTTTTCATTTATACAAATGTGCCTCTTTGGGGATGACGAGAACGCGCTCACAGGTTCACTGGCACACTACCTTGTTGCACATAAGAGAAGATTACTTACATCTTGGGATAACAGATGTTTCAAGTGGACTTGCTCATTTGTCCAGTGAGTGTGCTCACTCACCTTTGTTATTCTCTCTTTGCCAAGAAAATGGTCTGAAATTCCGTTCTGAAGATGTAGATCTTTTATCTTGGAAATTATTAAAATGCAACTATAACAAAGAATGATAAGATGGAGTAAATAAGGGAAAAAAAGGGTGAATCTGCTATCAATAGGGGTTTGGGATTTTCTTTCCTGACAACTGACCTTGATTTTGAGGAGTAAGTTCTAGGTCCCATATGACCAAGGAGGTTAAGAAGACGAAAATTCTAGATGATATAGATTTTCACAAAGGGTAGATGGGAGATTATGTAAGAAACATGTGACTGATAACTCAATTTTTCAAAAGTCTTGATCTAGGAAACCATTTCTAGTCCATCTATGGCTGTGGGTGGAACAGCTGTAAGACCTCATTTTTTATGGGGCAGAGAGGGGACAGTGGCCTTGCAGATACTGCAGGCTGCTAAGCCCAGTATCTTCCTGCCTGATTTCTTCCCCTCTTTCATTGTAAGAACAAAAGATCGTCCTGTGTTTCTCTCTTGGAAGGGGTTGTAGAAGGAACATGTTGTATACAAGAAACAAAATGGGAAGCCCTTGTAGTGCCACCTTATTGATGTTTCTTCTCAACTTCCTTTTGGTCCCATAGTCCCTTCTGGGGGCAGGACACCAAAGTCCCAGAGAGCTCCCACTTTGCTCCACCTCTGAAAGCATCCTACCATACTGGGGGCCATGCCTCAACCACATGGCTTTTGGAGCACACTCCAGATCCAAACTCTTGCAAAGCTGGATTTTTCAAAAACCTTATTTCTCTAAATAAATACACTTCTTTAGGTTTACACTCATTCAGTGAATAGCCTCTATGATCCAGCTTCTCATTACAAAACATGGCAACAAACATGTTTTAGCTGGGGCTGCTTTAATGAAATACCATGGCCTAAACAATTTTTGGGACTGGGAAGTCTAAGGTCAATGTGCTGGCAGACTTGGGTCTTGGTGAGGTTCTTCTTCTTGGCTTGTAAACTGTTAACTTCTTGTTGCACCTTCTAGTGACAAAGAGAGACTTAATTTTTTTGTTCTTCTTATAAGGACATTAATCTTATGAAGGCTTCATAATCATGACCTCATCTAAACTAAATTATTCCTCCAAAGATCCATCTCTTAGTACCAGTATTCTAGTGATTAGGGCTTCAAGATAGAAACTGGGGAGTCCACAACCATTCAGCCCTTAACCAAACACAAGTCCTAGATCCTCTGGCCATACTATTTGTGGTTTCTTGTTATATATTTCTCACTTTATTTTGCTATGATGAATAGGGTTTCTTCATTTCTCAAGTGTTGACTTCCACTTTTTTGTTCTATTCTCAGTATTCAATGAGTAATTTGAATCTCTACAGAATTATATGGAGCTACAGATTTGATTTTAACTGCATTTCCCTAGCCTTCCATGTTTCTTCATTTCAAAAGCCTCTCATTTTTCTCTTCTTTTTCCAGTTAGTCTTACATCAAACCTGTCTTTCATACAGAAGAACTGTCACTTTTGATCAGCATTGTGTTTAACATGGCATTACTAAATGACTCTGCTTGAAGCTTAATGACAGCATTTAAAAACTTAGTCCTCAAAAATCTTAAATTAACATGCTCTCATTGTAAAAATGAGGAGGCTGAAATCCAGAGAAGTAAAATAACTTTCCTATGGTCATAGATTGGAGCTAGTTCTCTTGGTCCCTGGGCACTGGCTAATCATTACTTCAGTGTTATGTTCCTTGAAAATCTATTTTTTTTTCCTTTCCCAAATTTGACTCACACTTCCATTAGGAAGTGTTGAATTAAGTCTGAGGTTTAGGTGCAATTCTGCCTGAGTAGATCAAGTTGGACCACATTAGTGATGAAATTAGCACTTGCGTGTGCCTTAGGCTTAAAATAAGTCAAGGCTAATGGAAATCAACCAGTGGACCTAAAAGCAATTTAGTATTCCTTTATTTTTTTCCTTTGGTTTGGAAGAAATCTCTGAGGAGTTCTAAGTGGATCTAAAACAGGCAGGTGCTTACATTTTCTGAAACTACATTTAAAATACCAACCATGGCTGATAAAATGTACTAGTCACGTTTCATGAGCTTGGCATGCAGGGCACACACGCCACACATGTATTTCTATTTGAGTAAATAGGTGTATGTGTGTGTGTGTGAGTGTGCAAGTCATTAAGGACCATGTTGGATTAACATGTCTCCAACCATGTGGGATACAGCAGGAATAAAAGAGCTAAATTCAGTTGTGTGGGCTCATTATGGTACACAGGGATAAACTGTCTTGAGGAGGTATAGATTTCAGTCTTACAGCCCATTTTAGGTTTTATTTTATTTTTTTTTTTCATCGTTGGGGATCAAACCCAGACCTCCTGTGTGATAGCCCAGGGCTCTACCATGAGCTCCATCCCCACCCTCCTGTCTTTCTTTTTACCTTGCACCTAGATTATTTGCACCTCAGTTTTGAATTAAGGCTGTACAATAGCTACAATTCTGTGATAATGGCAATAAGCAGTTTGGCGGAGGAATTTAAATAGCTTAGTGTTTCAAAATTAAATGCACAGGCATGTGTAATACAGTGATTGTTTATAACTGGATAGGTTAGTGATGATTGCAGAAGCCTATTGGACGCAGATAAAGCTCCAGAAATGAGAGCCGAATAAAAAAGTTATTCAATGTATTATTTTCTCTTTCTTTCTTCTATTGTCCTCATTTTCTCCCAGGTCCACTTATTTACTGCTCTCCATAGACTAGAGTTTTTTCTGCACCGGGTGCTACTCCCTTATGTGCAAGGTTAACCCTAAGAAGGACGCATGGTTTATATTCTCACACTCTCCGCGTCTTCCCAGGAATCACTTCCTAGAGAAGACTTGGTTGACCAGACTGTGTAAGATGCACACCATTCTGAGTTCCTTCTCTCTGTTTTGTGTGTTTTTTTTTCTTTTCATAGCAATTATTGCTACCATTTTTAACATACTGGTGTGTTCATTTATTTGTGTCTGCGTTTTCAGTAACTGCAAGTTTCACAAGAATGGGGACTTTGATATGCTCCCTGAAAGTCTCCACACCCAGCTGTGTCTATACCATCTAGGTGCTGTATAAATGATTTGTAAGTGAACGAATGATTTCA